CCTAGCCAATTGGATACTGTCTTGGTGCAGCCCATTGGATACTACCTAACCAATTGGATATTGTCTTGGTTCAGCCCATTGGATACTGCCTAGCCAATTGGATACTGTCTTGGCTCAGCCCATTAGATACTGCCTAGACAATTGGACACTGTCTTGGCTCAGCCCATTGGATACTGCCTAGCCAATTGGATACTGTCTTGGTTCAGCCCATTGGATACTGCCTAGCCAATTGGATACTGTCTTGGTTCTGCTTGGAGTTTTATTAAGAAGTGTGTACTGCCATACCTTGAGGAGGTGTGCCTATACTGCTGCCCAGCCCCAAGATTGACACTTTGTAAGGACGAGGCTCCAACATGGTGCAGGATTCGTTCCCTCGGACCCAGTGAGGAACCTGGGACCAAAAAAAAGTCAAAATGTACTTTGTAACTTGACATAAATCATCATTCTATACATGTGTACATTGGAATCCAAAAGTGAATTGATTCAAATTTTAACCGATGAATCTTGTTAAAAATTCTGTCACTAGAGCATAACCTTCTCTCCTAGATATTATGGCCTGTGAAAGGAAAATTGTCTAGAAGCACAAAGTGTAGTGTTCTCTCCAACACTCAAATAAGACTCTTACACCGACAGACTTTTCATGACTGTATTCTACGGTGTTATTCTGTACAGTGAGGTAGGAGGGCTGACTCAACATCTGGAATGTGTTATACTGCGTGGGTAAGGTTACTGGGTGGCTAACTCTAAATCATTAACTTGTTTCACATCACTACATCCCTCCTTTCCTTAGACTTGCGTTATACAACAACTATAGAACTCATGCATTACCTTCATCGGTTAACTTCATGCATTACGCTACTTTAGGGCCTTCTAATTCATGCAAGTCTACTCATGCAGTATATAGTCCATTCTCGTAGTATCTTTTCCAGTCCGTTTCTTTTGAAATCATTGTCCGTTCAGCTCTGTTATTACAGGGTCAGTCTATCTGGAGGTTTCACGTTCCTCCCCGAACGAGTCACGTAAGTGCCTGTTGTCGGTGCACTTATTTTCTCAGTCTCTGGCATTCTCTCTGGTTGTCCTGTGTCTTCTCCGGCGTTGGTGTTTCCCTCAGAATCGTTGATTTCGGGCTCTGCGTATTTCTTAACGAACGATGCGTTTCGTTTGATGATTTTCCCTTCTGGATCCTGCACCGTAACTTCTCCTCCGTTCTTATGTATTACTCGACATGGACTCGTTTGGTAGTTCGGTGAGAACTTGTCTTTCTTTTCCTGTCTCAGCAGAACACGATCTCCCGGTTCTAGGTTGTTCTCGACGGCCTTACGCTTCTTGTCTGCGTATTCTTTCGCCGTTAGTTTTCTCCCATAATCCCGGTCTCGGATTTCCTCGTTCATCAAGGTTGTCTCTCTCGGTAGTTCGGGTAGCTTTGACTTCATCTCCCGCCCGAACATTAGCTTGTACGGTGTCTCGCCCGTCGTCACCTGCGGGGTTGATCTGTATGCTTTCAGGAATTTCTGGATTTCCTGTCTCCAATCCTTCCCCTCGATTCTCGCGATCTTGATGGATTTCAGCAGGGTTCTGTTCTGCCTCTCGACTTCACCGTTAGCTTGCGGCCATAACGGCGTCGTTCTCCGGTGTTCAATGCCTTGTTCTCGAAGGTATTCTGTGAACTCTGTGCTGACAAACTGTGGACCATTGTCCGTACGCAATGTTGAAGGATTTCCGAATCTCGCGAAAATAGGGTCTAGTGCCTCTATTACCTTCTTGCTTGTCGTTGTCTTCATGATCGCGATCTCATAGTAACGACTGTAGTAATCCACCACGACTAGGATGTGTTCCCCGGTGGGTAACGGTCCTAGTAGATCCGCGCTGCAATCTTGCCACGGTCCTTCTGGTGGTTTTGTCCTCATCATCGGTTCTGGTGGCTGTTGCTCGGACACCACTTGGCATCCATGGCAGCGTTTGCACATCTGCTCAACGTCTGCTTCCATCTTCGGCCACCATACCTTCGTTCGTAGTCGATTCTTCGTCTTCTGGACCCCTTGATGTCCCTCGTGGGCCAACTTAAGAACTGTTTTCCGCAGCTCTCGCGGTATCACGATTCGAGTCCCTCGTAACACCAGTTGCCCATACGTACTCAACTCGGTCTTCACATGACCGTATGACGGAATCGGACAGTTTTCCCACTGTCCACTGTGGATACACGTCTTCACTTGCATCAGCTCTGGGTCCTTGGCCGATGCCTGCTCGATTTCTCTCGGTGTCAGACTCACCGGCGTGCTTGCCTCAACGATGGCTCTGACGTAGTCGTAGTCTTCTCCTCTCTCTCCATTCTTCGACTTGTTGTTCAGCCTGGATAGTGCGTCCGCAATATTCGTCTTCCCGGGACGATATACGACCTTGAAGGGATAGGCCTGAAGCCTCAGCACCCATCGCTCTACCCGCGCGGACGGCTTCGACGTTCGCGTGTAGATATGCTCTAGTGGACGATGATCCGTCTCTAGCTCGAACTCGCGTCCGAACGTGTATAGGTGGAATCGTTCACATGCCCAGACTAGCGCTAACGCTTCCTTCTCTGTCTGGCTGTATCTGCGTTCAACTTCCGACAACTGTCGAGACGCATACGCGATCACTCGCCACCTCTCCTCTTGAAGCTGTAACAACACTGCACCCAGTCCTACAGGTGAGGCGTCTGCCACGATACGCGTCTTTCCTGTGGGTGCGAAGTACGCCAACGTCTCCGTACTTGTGATCTTCTCTTTCAGCCGCTTGAAACTCTCTTCCTGCTCTGAGTTCCACTTGAACTCTACACCTTTGCGTGTTAGCTTTTGTAATGGTTCTACCAACGTTGCCAGGTCCGGTACAAACTTCGCCACGTAATGTACCAGTCCTAGGAACGACCTCACTTCTCCCGCCGTCTTTGGAGCCTCTGCATCTCGGATTGCTGCTATCTTCTCATCGCTTGGCTTGATCCCGTCCGGCGTAACTACGTGTCCGAAGAACGTTAACTTCGGTACCCGGAACAAGCACTTCTCAGGGTTTACCGTCAAGCCAGCCTGCTGGATCTTATCCAGGGCGTGATGCAGTCTCTCGTCGTGTTCCCGATTACCTCTCCCGTGGATGATGACATCATCTGCGATGTTTGCTACTCCCTCACACCCACGGAGAACTTCTTTGACCAGCTGTTGGTACTTTTCGGGAGCCGATGATATCCCGAACATCAGACGTTTGTACCGGTAGAGTCCTCTGTGTGTCACGAAAGTTGTGATGTGGCGGCTCTCCTCCTTCAGTGGCACCTGGTGAAAACCCCACTTCAGGTCCAGCTTGGAGAACACTGTACTGCCATTCAGGTCATGTAACACGTCTTCTACCGTCGGGATCGGCTGTCGTTCTCTCACTATGGCTTCATTTGCACGTCTCATGTCGACACACACGCGTATGTCTCCATCCTGCTTGGGTACTACTACTAGCGGTGAAACCCAACCTGTTGGTTCCTCCGGGACAACTTCTATAATGTCCATCTCCAACAGTTCGTCCAACTTCTTGTCTACTTTGTCTCTCAAGCCATATGGTACCCGTCTCAATGGCTGTGCTATTGGTCGCACCGTCTCGTCAATGTGTAGGGTTACCTCTCGCTCCTTCAAGAGTCCTACACCTGTGAACGCATCTTTGTATTTCTCACGCTCCTCTGCCGTCAGACCTTCCTGGAGGTTGTTTACTTGACCCGTCTGCACTGGGCCAACTCGCAGCACCCCCAGCTTCTCTGCTGTTTCCTTACTCAGCAGATTTCTTCCAGGTCCATCCATCACCACTACTTCTGCCTCTGTCGCAGCCGCACTTGATAGACAGACTACTTCTGCCTTGAATGTCCCCAATGTGGGTAGAGGTTTGTTGCTTCCATAGGCGTAGAGATTCTTGCCGCCTTTCCTCTGATCTCTGACCTCTACTCTCTGCCCCTTCAAACTCTCCCAGGTTCCCTTGCTGATTATGTTACATGTAGCTCCGGAGTCGATAAGGATGCCTGCTACACCTACACCTCCAATCTCCACATCTATGGTGCCTGCTCTCTTCTGAGCCTGGCCACCCATACTGAACACATAATGATCGGTCCCTGGGTCTGTTTCTCCTTCTACACTGTTACACGTGGAGCCAGACTTCTTGACTTCTTGACCTCTCTTGCCCCGGCACACAGCTCTAAAGTGGTTCAGCATTCCACAATTACTACACTTCCCTCCCCGGGCTGGGCATCTGTCATCTTTAGCAAAATGATCCGACCTTCCACAGGCAAAGCAACTTCCTGCCCTTGGGTTTCCTTGACGCCCCCGGACCCAGGCCCCTTGGGCTCCTTGGGAATGTTTTCTTCCCCCCGAAACTAGGAGGCCCTCTATGGGTTGTGCCCTTGCTGGTATAGTTTACAGTCTCACCTTGCTGGTATAGTTTACAGTCTCACCGTTCTCTATGACCTTTATCTGTCGACTTGTGGTCTCATTGGTCTTGCACTCATCTAGTGCATCTTGAAGGGTGAGGTTCTTCTTCTTCAGTAGTCTCGTCCTGACCTTGTTGTCCCTAATTCCAAGGACTATTCGGTCCCTGAGCATTTCGTCTTTTAACTCTCCATAGTCACAGGTGGATATTAGCTTCCTCAGTCGAGCTACATAGGTCTCTATCTTCTCACCTTGTGCCTGCTCACAAGTGTTAAACTTGTATCGCTCATAGACCGTGTTTCTCAGTGGCTTGAAGTGTTTGTCAAGCGCTTCGATTATCTTTGCAGGGTCCTCTCTCGGGTCTGCATCGGGATTTGCTGTATCTGGTGGGATGTCTAGATTTTTCAAGATATCCAAACACTCCCTGCCCATGACCGTTTTTAAGGTCGCTGCTCTTATCTTGTTTGGCTTTTTGTTTTTTTCAGTCGCTATTTCATAGCTGTCCCAATCTTCTTTGAAGATTTCCCAGTTCTCGGCTATGTCACCTGTCAATTCTACAGGCCTCGGGACAGGCAGATATCCCTTTTCCGCCATTCTTAGTGGAATTCTTCACAATTCTTCACTAGTTCTCTGGGCTCTTTTAGACTAGCATGCTCTGGATGCTCTCTTGGAAGAAAGACATTAGACATTGGACTTAGCTGTCTCCTCTGAAGACTGTGGCTCTCTCCGTCCTTCTGTCTTGACTTGAGACCGTTTGCTTTCGTCTTCTTCTGTCTTCCTCTGCCTTCTTCTGTCTGTCGTCTCCTCGTCGCCAGTTGTAGTGTTCTCTCCAACACTCAAATAAGACTCTTACACCGACAGACTTTTCATGACTGTATTCTACGGTGTTATTCTGTACAGTGAGGTAGGAGGGCTGACTCAACATCTGGAATGTGTTATACTGCGTGGGTAAGGTTACTGGGTGGCTAACTCTAAATCATTAACTTGTTTCACATCACTACACAAAGAATTTAGAAATGACAGTTATTCTTTCTTACCATAACATCCTCTCCATGTACGTTTTCAAGACCATCAGCTTTCATGACCTTCAGCATGTAATCTGGAAGGGTGGAAAAAGTGGTTAGACTTCAATACATGTACCATATATCAATTATTGAAGTATCAGAAAAAGAAAGTGTAGAAAGTGACTTGACTTGATTAAAGGAGCCTCAGCAAACAATACGTATTTACAAGTACTACAGGGTGGTTTTGTTTTTGTCATCCTCAAACGAGGCAAAGCATGATGCTCTGTCAAGTAGCTTACAATGCAAAGCAACTTACATGTAACTTCACTGTTTAATCACACCAGGTCACCCCTACTCTTCTTGATAAGTGTGTTGGGTTCTTTTATGTGCAGAGTTTGGTGCTTGAGGCTCACACCCAAAGCGACCGTCATACACGCAGCCACTGGCTTTATGTCACAATCTGAAATGACTACAATCCCTAGCAACATAGATGTGTTGCTGTGGGTAAGAGGTACGCATGTATCTGGTGCATCATTAATGAATTCCGCTAGGGGGGATCTGAGTAGCCTGATGTGCTTAGTCTGGTGGACTGGCCAGGTAGCCTGGCCTGAAAGGTGGACAGGTTTTTCCGCAAACCCGTGTTGCTGTACGTTCATTTGTGTCAATAAAGTTCTCATGTGTAAATTAGGTGAGCAGACACAGAGGGAACAATTATGCACCCACAGGTCCACAGAATTTGACACATGTGGCCATAAAAGCAGTTTTAAATCTTATGTCACGGGACATAAAGTAAGGTGGAACCCAAGTTGATCTTGATCCTCCTCTCACCTATAGCATTTTCCAGGTTCTGTGAACCGGCGATACGACTTCCGAAGGTGTCCACAAACTCAGCCAGCCTGTTGTAAGACTGGTTCTGGGCCTTCCCGTGAACAGACAGGTTGATGATATCATCTGCAACACCTATGGGTTGGAGATTGAAAGGACAAAGTCAACATTGCAAACTTCTTTTTTGAATGCATGTATGACCTTAGTTATACATTAACATTTGAATTATACAATATGGGAGCCTGTAACAGATGTGTAAGATTATAATTCTGTACTATGGGTACGGGACAACACATAACCTTCAAAGGAGTTAAGATTGTTTTAAATTGTAATACACTCACACTCAATATATCAGGTTTATCGTCTGTTGTTTCCCATCTTCCGAGGGTTATACATGCTTGCACACTGGTGCTGAGGCTTGATGGCAGCCCTCATAGAGGTATATGGGTATGAAACTCAGATGTACTACTAGTATTTTTTGTAATCACAATAATTGAGTGAATATTCCAGGCTTTTTCAATACAACCAGATACATGTACCTACCTTTGTATCCTGCAATCTCATCTTTGATCCTTGATGGGACTGGAGGAAGACTGGGTACCCCAAACACACCTGGAGGTAGTGAGACATTTTAATTCACCATTAATAATACCTACCACAAAGCTATGTATCTACATGGAGTTAAAATCAACTCCATGGTATCTACCACCCAAAATATGTGACCCTATCATGTCCTGGTCCAGATCATGAGAATTATCAAAACTGGAGTAACTGCAGTGACACCAACCTGCCAGAGGCCCACCAAAAAACGATTCGTGAAATTCCCTGCGGCCATCTGGACCAACCTGTTGTTGTACTCTAGCTCTGCATGTACTGGTACTAGTAGGGCCAAGTGCAAAGTTCGAATTCTGAGTTTGATCATTTTGACTCTAAATGATGAGCTCTCCAGCACCATGCATGTAGTTAAACAAGTATTCCTCACCTGAAAAGCACGAGAGTAGAGTCAGCATAAACCTTGCAGTAGCCATGATTTTCAACTTTACGTTAACCTGAAGTAAACCTGTGTACAACACAGGATCTAAAACAACACAGTCACCCCGTGTACATGTGACTTGCTGTGTACATGTGACCAGGATATCAGCTGATGAAATCAGCAGGGGGTAAAGGCCACCCGTCAGCTGACAGGTGAACTAGCCAATCACAGAGCTCTGTCCGCCTGTAAACCACTGGATAGCGTGCTTACGAGGGGTTTTACAAATCATGCATTCAGGGTTGACTAAAGCCTACAAGTGAGGAAATGAATACAGGCTGTGACATCTTCATGTCGCTATTATGGATGTTAATAAAGTAAATATCTAAGCTATTTTGTATGTGTTTTTAGATGTAATAACCATCAAGTAAACCTCCAAATGGCAACCACTGTAAACCTCTTTGTGAGACTCGAGTCACTGCCCGGGGGAGAGGCTTACACAATGAACATTAACCAGACAACCAAATATGGACATGAACCAGACCAAGTGTAAACCAGGTACCTTTTACTAGAATTTATTCATTTGGAGAAGTTATCATAAAGATGAATAATTAACAAGTGTTTGACATTAAATGTAAAACTATTCTAATATTTGTCGACGTTGTTTTTTTTATTGTCTTATACAAGGTCACACATTTTATTTACCTATGATTAGACGGAATGGTATAATCCATAGTGGGATTTTCCACCACGTGAAGAGGCGGGTCCCATAAACTCGTTGACTTTTAGGTTTTAGGTAAAAGTGCACGTAAAGGGAAAATTACCACACGACTCTGAAGTTGTGAGTGGAGTGTGCGTTTGGAAAGGTAAGTGTATTCCTCCAAGACTTTGATGCATTTTAGAAGAGTTCTTACCAGGTAACCGACTTTTAAAGCCCTTTAAATCTAGTACATAAGACTTCTCTACGACTTCGAAAGACTTCTGTAGCCACGGTGCCAGACTGTTTCCTGGGCATACGCAGGCCAGTCCTTCGGCTCCGGGGCTAACATGCCCCAAGGAAATTATACCACGGCCTCCCTCAGTTAGACCCTAATCTCCGTACGTTGGACAACTTTCGCCCTAGAGGTCCATGTGTCTGACATCCAGGCCAAGACTTGATCGTGTTGCCTAGTGGTTGCAACACCGTCAGCTCAAGTTGCAAGTCGGGCCGTTTGGCGGTCAAGGACGATGATGTAGCCGGCCGATACGACTTGTACTGTCATGCGGCGATTCTACCGACTTTTAATTTAAAGGGATATTGAGCTGTATTGCCGCGGTACCGTTATACCGTACCTTTATAAAATACCGCTTACATAAGGTCCCAGAGCACACGCTGAACAAATGGCCCATTCATGTAACGCCGCTTAAATACTAGTACCTGACCTGAATACCACGTATACCAGAATAAGATTAGAACAAGTGACTGAGCACGTACTGTAGGACAAAGACCCAGACAACTGTCTGTGTTTGATAGTCAGTACTGCTCTGTTCAACTGCATTGGCCATGGCCATGAAATGGAGAAATTACCGGCCAAAAAAATCAAAAGATGAGGCAGTAACGACTTGCACAAACATATGACAGTAAGTAATATCACTGCAGGGTACTTTAAGTGACGTTATAGGTAACTCTTAAAGTGCCTTTAGTTCATACTCTTCTAAGAAAAGAACTTAAGAAGACAAACAGAAGCTAGCAAGCTGTCAGTCTGTAGCTTTAAAAAATCTAGATACACCCACATGTACATGGCCCATTGTAGGTTAGGTGCAGGTAGACATCAGAAATACATGTACACAGCTGCAATTTGACCTGCACTAACCTGCATATACCCAGTACATGGACCAGTGCAGGTTAGGTGCAGGTAAACATCAGAAATACCTGCACAGCTGCAAGTTTAACTGCACTATTACCTGCACATGCACATGGGATTTCAAACCAGAAAGTTGGGGTTGATGACATATCACACTTCTACCCAAAAGAATGCTGTGCCACAGTGGAGAGTCAGAAAATTTCAATACCAGCAAGTGGTATTGTTGTTCCAGGTGTGTGACACCTGTTGTTCCAGGTGTGTGACACCTGTTATTTCATTGAGTCCTTGGTGTTACTTGTCCTCAGGAGGCCATTTCCCCATGCTGTGCCCCATGTCTTGCCTATCTGCATAATTATCTGTATAACCCACAATGCCACATCCCTTCAGGGTACTTGTGAGATGCTCACTATTTTTTTTGCCACCGCCCAAGAGTGCAATGAATAACACCCCAGGGCTCGAAGTCAAAATCCCACCTGCATATGCAGGTTAGTTCAGGTGAAATTGGAATTATGCAGGTATTTATGATGTCTACCTGCACCTAACCTGCACTGGTGCATAAACTGGTTAACCACCATTGAAGTATTTAAAAAAATGCTAGTATTAAATGGCAATGGCTCTGAACAGTTCTCAATTCTGAGTCAGTGGTGCAGTTAAAACTTGTCTGGTGCAGGTAAAGCTGACTGGTATATATTGTCCTTGTCAACTTGCTGTTGTTGGCCCACTGCTAATGCAATGCCCCCAACCCCCCCCCAGAACACCTAGAGGATTCTGAAATCACAGCCTCAATTAAATGAAATCATTCAATCATCATATGAGTATATTCATATTCATAACTTGTTACAGAAGATCATGTATTGTGTTCAATAGAAATATCTGTATGTAGCGACAATGTTTTCAACAGTTGTACATGTATGTTAATATTAAACTGTCTTTTGTTGTTTTATTTCAGTTATCCATACTATGGGCCACCCCTGGGGAAGTAGAGAAGCTGTCATGGCCTACCTTCAGCAGTGTACAGTGAAACAGGTCAACCATCCAGGGTTGCACAACAACAAGATGGACATCCAAGAGTCCAGTCATTCTCAGGCATGTTTAACAGTCTGTTTTAGATTAAGATCGAAGGCCACACCAAAATAGTTGACAATGTACATCCCTCAGATTTGTTATTGCTAGCTCTAAGAAAAAAAAAACATAATAAAAAAACTGTAATAAAAAAACCTGTAAACAACAATGACTGTAATCTTGTGTGCTAATTATACAGTGCTCGATTCCTCGAAGCTTGATACCTTTCATGGTAGGTGCAAATGTAGTTATTTTATGATGGTAATTATCTTTACACATGTATATACTTCAGCTGATGTACGTACACATGTATGTGAACTCTGGAAATGTATGTCTTAGAGTTTCAAGTAAGTTTAAAGATGCCATATGTCTGTACTTTGTGTATCCTCAAATCTTCAAGTGATCCACTTCCAATTGAAATTAACCTCTTCACATCTTTATTTCTTTAGGACGACTCTTGCACTCAGAGCAAGAATAATTCTTCAAGACGGCTAAGTACAAGCCAGAAAGGCAGTGACTATACCGAACAGCTGACTGTAGAAATGTTGATGGCAATCTTCCTGTATCTGCCGTATGAAGACTTGTTGACATGCCGGCATGTGTGCAAAAGATGGCAGGTAAATACTGTGCAGTAGTGTGTGTAGATGGTCACTGCTTATTTCTTTTGTTAAAAATGTAACAGCTTGTTACAGTTTGAAATGTTTTGGAAGATGTCAACAGGTAATAGTCATTATGTGGCATTAGCTGACTGTAACTGTAAGGCAACCCATGCAAGAATATACAATTTTTTAAAAATTGTTTGCCCAAGTGGCTATTAAAAAAATGGCTAATTATAAGGCCACAACATCAAGAGGTCATGGGTTTGAGTCCTTGCATTCCTGGCTTAAGACAATTTGTGTTCTTGGGAAGACATGACTTGGCTTTTCTGACTCCACCCAGGTGTAAAATGGGTGCCTGTTGGCAGGTACATTTTGTGAAAGGCAATTAAAGCAGAGGAATGGGCTATGCCATCCAACACTGCCCTAGACACAGCAGATTAACATTGTACTGCCCCTACAGCATGAGAAAGGCTATAGGACTATATGTACCTTTACCTACCTAGTATCTTGAGAATATTTGCATTGCCTTGTTTTGACAGTGGTATTCTAAAGTCATGCTTGGCCTCAGGTTGGGCAGTTCACACAAATGAAAAGTATGACATACTTGTAAAAGACACTAGAAGCAGAAAAAAGTACAATTTGTGTATATTGTTGATAGAAATTGTTAATTTTTTGTTTACGGGTCACTTGTTCCTCCTACCCTTGTAACTTGTACTTATGTGTGAATATGTAATAAAGTTCATATTGTCATTGTTCCAGGCCGTCCTGAGTGAGGGGTTCTTCTGGAAGTGCCTGACGTTCTTCAGCTTCAGCTTCCAGGAGGAGGTGGAGGGGTCTACCTCAGGGTCGCTGACGGAGTGGAGGACGGACTGGAACCACGAGCCAAACTGCTTCTTCGGCGTCCAGGCCGCCGTGCCAAAAGGAGCGGTGTTCACCAAGCTTCCACAGAGGTGGAGGAATGGTGAGTGGGTGTGTCTGTATGTGTTATTCTGTATAGCTGGCATATCCGTCCTTCAGCGTTTACATGCCAGCTTTATTTGCAGGCACACGGTGTGGTGACAGCTTGTTATATAACTGTTGCACCGAACAACCTTTTCATACAGCCTTTGCACATCTAACTGAAAGCATTGTTTAATGATGCACTATACTTGGTGGCACTGAGTTCCACTTCATGATAGTTTTTTCTAGGAAAAACAAGTCTTTGGGACAGATTTTTCATGTCTTTAGATATCTTTTTTTCGTTGTTGACATATGTGGCAGCTTTAACCTTCATCATAAAGATACATCAGTTTTATCAGTTCATGAAGTCATGTGGCAAATTTCTATGAGCATCTGTCTTCTCTATCCACTACCAGTGGACAAGTAGCTAGACTGTACATAAAATTTATTGAGATAAACTAGTTTGAGATCACTTACACGGTTAACTTAATATACCTTATGTGATTTGTGTCATCTAATAGTGTGTTCAGTCATATATTGTATCTGCTAACTTGTATTTCCTTCCTACTGTATTCAGGCATCCTGTGCCCATCATCAGAGGACATCAAGGATCAAGTTGAAGACTACCAGAACTTCTACCGTGCTGTCCACGCCCTCTCTACTGTCCACTCCTCCATACAGAGACTAAATCTCTTCTACTGTAAGTTTTGGGATGCAAGTCGGGCTGTTATGCTGTTGTATATACATGTATTTGATAACAAATGTGTATATTGTTGAGTATAGAAAATTACAAAGGTATTACAGTTATACTGATTTCAGAGTCAGAATAACAGATTTCCCAGGTTTGAGGAATGAAAAAAAAGCAACTCCATTAAACTCTCACAGTAAGAAATAATGATCAGTATTTGCTTGATAACCCAGCTGGTTCGGCGGAGTTTGGGTGGAAGAGCAGAGGTAGAAGTGCCATCGACACCTGCCTGTTGCCATGGCAACACGACGGACTTCCCACCGCAGAGGAGGTACTGGAGCTATTCCACATCAATCCTCTTCTGAAGGTGGGTTTCACAACTTTAATAACAACAAATATTTCATTTGTGTCAGTTATTCAGTTATAGACTGTGAGCTCTTTCACCTTAGAATTTTTAGATAATTTTTTGAATCCTTGTCATATTTTGAGAATTAGGAATGCAATCTAGCTCACCAGGAACCTTTTGTTTGGTCATTTTTTGCCTCAGGAGTCTGTGACCTATGAAAAGAAGAAGGGAGACTTTGGAGGAACTAACCAGCTGTCCCACATCTTCTGCTCCCGCTCCTACAGCGGAGAGGTCATGGTGTTCTACGACCTGGTACAGGGCCTTCTCTGTCCCAGGAACGAATACATCCAGGTGAGAACTTAACCATGTAGGTTTTTTTTATTGTAACATGACTGTAAGAGTAAAATGCTACCAAAACATAGCATGGTTGACATTGTTGTACATTCATTTTTATATGGAATTTAAGCCAGGCCAATATTCAGCAAATGTGGTGTTTCGATTGACAAAGACAAGCCTAAGTCGTTGTGTTTCTAGTTACAGTCCTGAAAAAAATTAAGGTCGGTAGGGGCTCTTTTGGCTGAAGTGATCCTACAAATACAGCATGCATCTGTACAAGGGCCAGTGCCTGCATTTTCTTGTGAGGAACAAATATTTCACCGTTTACTCAATGAAAATTAGCCTCTGGAAATTAATGCTTGCAATAACATTTGAGACAGTTGGAAACTGAGATGGAAGATCGAGTATTTGATGGCCTTGCTTGTCAGCAGTTAAGATTTAATCCAAAAAGGCTAGAAACGGTTGGGAAACAGGATTTTTTCCCCCAGGACTAACCATCTGGTCCTTTTTTTAATGCTACAGGTGTGTGTGAATGTGAGAGACCCCACCCACATGCAGTGTCCATCTCCAGTCTTCATCCTAGCCTTCCTGGCACCTGGATGGGTGGGCGGGATCATGACTGGACTCTGGTAGTCTGTCTCCTGGGGTGTGTCTAATAAAAGCCATGTACAGTTCAGATAGTCTCCATGCTGGAATCATGACCAAAAGCATGTCGGCAGAACATACTGTGCCTGTGTGAAAGCCCATAACGTATTGTGCATGGCTCTTCGGCAGAATGGCTGGCCATGCTTTAAGGTCATACATGTCATACTTGCGTATTTTAAGGATAACATCCCGGCTAGTTTTCAAATGTTGTGGTTGAAAAGATACTGTCTGCGATGGGCAAAATTCTGACTCAATGTTGATCAAGCATAAAAAAAAACCTTGAAAAGTCTGGGTTTTGCGCAGGTGCAGTATAATCTACTGATGTGCTTGTGGTACATACTAAATGGTAAGTGTGATGGTACATACTGTACATACTGAAGTATGTACCATGCTGATTATTTCCATAGAACTGTGGTTGCAATTATTTACCAAAAATGATTTGGTAGAAGGTAGTGAACCTCCATTTAAAAAAGGTCAATATAATTCCACAAAGTTGTGCAACAAAGTCTAGGAAGGACATAAAAATATAACTAGAGATAGAACATTTTATATGAAGTGCCAGTATTTTTTCCCCAGCTTGGCTGAGATAGAGCATGTACTATAACTTGTATAAGATACAAAGTTTTGTGAATCATTGGTGCAGTAGGAACCATGTAATTGTAACAATTTTATAACTGGTTGAGTTTAGTGATGCAATTGATGTGTAGTCATTCTACTGTGGATATCTTTTTGTTCATTACTCCAGTGTATATAATATGTGTACCTACATATGTATATAGAGGTAAACAGACCATATATGTAACATACATTATTTCTATCATGTATTTCTACCACCAAAATTTCTATCTTGTATAACCACATGTGGTGAACTGATGAGTTCTAAACAAAGTATGAGTTGCTTTGTAAGATGTACAAAAGTTTGAATATCATAGTATAACAGTGAAAGTAAGAAATATCAATTTGTTATACAACTTACAGGTGCTTGATACTTTTTTTTAATCATTTGTAACATCAGTATTATGCTGCAATAGGTAAGGAATGGTTGTACAAAGCATATATATACTATATCGTGATCACCACTTCAATACGAGGTGCTCCAAGATGAGGATGGTACTACCTATACAAAGTTTAGGCCCCATGTTAGCCTTCTCGTCATAATGTATTATATACCAACATAGATGGACTTTCATGCCATGATATCATGCTTGTTTTCTTATTTTTATAATTACATGTTTAAAGTCAATATGGGTAGCCAAATCATTCAAGCATCAATGGACAACATATGAATAAAAGTTTGGAAACAGCAAAATGACACGTCGTACATTCTTGTAGGGTATGATGGTAAGAACAGGAAACTCAGTTACAGTTTGTATTGTCTGACACGAGGAGTTATGTTAAAGTTAATGCAGGTTTCCTAATTTACTACTACTGGGGATTTTGGTCCACCAGACCTCTTCTGGACTGTTCTGAGCTATTGGAGTTCAGCTGTTTTCTTTGCACCAGCATCTGGAAGAATAACAGCAAAATATTGATATTCAAATGCCATTTGAGATGCCTTATTCGTAACTTACCACATATACCGGCAATCTCATTGGTATTGGCAATCAAAATTTGATGCCTATACAATGTACTTGAAACTACATACTTGTACTTGAACATATGAACCAAATATATATGTGCGAATAAAAAATATACAAGCGCAGATAAACAAGATTAAACTTGAGCCACCCCCCACGCACATTAAAAAACCCACCGCACTTATCGAAAAGAGTAGGGGACCTCCCTAGTGTGAGTGGTTCAAACCTTACAGTCCGGTCTTACACAGCTTGTTCTTACATGTACAAAACCAGCTGTGTTACGCCTAAAGGCGGTTTACCGGTTATGCCAAACAAACATCTTTTCACAAAGAATACCTTGCTTCCCTCCAGAAGGTGTGTCTCTCTCCCCAAGGCATTGTTCATGCCTTCCTCTGTCCGATATTGTACAATGGCATACTGCTTGTGGAAGCCAGTGTCCTTATTCTGGAAACAATACAATGTTGTCACAAGTTATTAGTATATTACCATTACAGTACACATTTGAAACTTTCTGTCTTGTAACAAAATTATGTACAAAATTTCATGCTAACACAATTCAAACAAGAAATCGGAAATATGCAATTCTTAAGGCTTCCTGAATTCCCCCTAGCCTGACTAAATCTGCGCTCCTAGCGGCTGGCCCAGTATTACACCAGCCGCTGGCCGCTAGGAGCGCAGATTTAGTCAGGCTAGAATTCCCCCATGTCAACCTCTAATTCCTGTTGGTTCCCAGCCAGATTCTGTGAACTGTGACCTTCTGCCATTCTGCCTGTCAATCCTACATCCACGTGCTCTCAAAAGACAATTTGTCCGGACAAGCAGAAACAAACACCAAAAGCTCATCTAACCCAAAACAAAACTTCCGGAAGTAAATTATTCATATTATGATATTATTATTATACATTAACTTCCGGGGAGCCACAATATGAATTTTAGTTAGCCCAAGGAGGTTATAGTCCACTAGAATATATCTCCTTGGTAATAATATATAATACAAAGAACATGCAATTTTACACTCACCCATGGTAACCTGATTCTCTTTACTGGACCAAACTGTGTAAAGTATTCCTTCAGCTCCTCTGTAAAAGAAAAAAAAACACAAATCGCTTTTGAAAACCGATAATTATTATAGCAAAGTGAAACTTTCTACATTTGTACTTGAAAATGGGTTGGGGTGGGGGGCGCAAACACGTGATAGGGCATACATGTCCATACGATTTTGCTTGAAGATTACAGATACAATGCGCCATCTACACGAACGAAATAGCATCCAAAAGAAGCAGCAATAGTTCCTCTAACACGCAGAAAGGGAATCAGCTGCCCATACTTTGTCCCACAGTCCAGGCGACTCTTCCAACGTACAGCTGGAGATTTCTCGCAACGGAAGCGGCCATGTTTCTTCAACCTTCAAGGGTCAACGCACTTAGGTCATACCACTATGTTACGGGTACATCCATATGATAGAAATTTTAATCGTCCAATCAGTTTTACATCAAAGTGTATCTTTTTAACAGCACAATTAAATAAAATTAATATATTGATTGTATAGTGTAGTACATTGACACGAATATTAGTGCTTTTAGATACATCTATTCATACAAATAAAATGTTACCAAGAGTTCTCCCCGATTTCAATTTGGTTTTGTCCAACTTACGACAACATGGAGGCACCGGAAAGCTATGTAAAAGAAGATCGTTCTCCGGATTCTGAGGACGTTTTTAGAAGGGAGTTCAAGCGATATAAGGCAAAGGACCCAGCACCAAAACTGGATGAAGTTATTGACTTCGAGACATCGCGAGACAGGAAGGTATGAGCTCGTAACAAAGCTAGAATTCTTCGTAGCAGACGACACTGCAAAATTCATCTACGTGAACACGATCAAATTGTAACGTTATAACGTTATGTTACTAGTAGTTTGTGCCATAACATATATTTTAAGCAACAACACTCCGCAAAAATTAGCCACAACAAAGTAACCGTGTACTGTATATCATTATTAAGGTTACTCAGTGCTGGCATCTTAAAAAGATGATAGTCACCATGTCAAATTATCATATTAACCTTCCACAAAATCTATGTGGCAAATCTTAATAAATTATGAATATTTTTATTGGTTCAAGAATTTGAATCTGATGCTTTTGTCACATAGAAGCTTCTAAACACCTGTCAAGAAGTCTTATGTTATTAAATGTTATTAAGGTATCAAAGTTATTTTTTATTCCAGATAATACCTGTACAAATTGATCCAAAGAACATTACTGACCACGAATCACTAGCCAGACTGGGGCTGTTACATCCGAGTGAGTGGAGAGTGTTTGGGCTGGAGGGACTGCTAGGTAAGCGTAAGACATGGCTCAGAAAGTTCTAGACAGTAATTATACATGTATTGAATAATATACATTGTAGTTGATATATCATTGTGACCTGTCAAATCTTTGAGGATATGGACACTTTCCTTGATGTATGTCTAGTGTCTAGTACGTTCAAGTTAAAGTGATTTTATGTGTATAGTTTGTGGTCAATTTGACCTAATAACTGTTTAGAAACCAGTGCCATTTTTTTCCTTTAACATTATAGGTAACAGTCCATGCAGCAAATAAAAATAAAAATCCACATACAGATGTAAAATTATGAAACCTTATCAAGTACAGGTTAGATATAAAAAATACCTGCACAGCTCCAATTTTAACTGCACTAACTGCATATACTAAGTATGCACATGGTACATGTACTAGTAGTTACATTGTAGAGCTCTTCCCATATACGTCGATGAAGGTTAGACATCCAGGTAATACGATACGCCAAAAAAGCAGTTACTCAAGCAACTGGATATGATTTTGAAAACGTCAATTGACAATGACGTCAATGACGTTTTCAAAATCATATCCAGTTGCTTGAGTAACTGCTTTTTTGGCTCTTCCCATATACATTGAGCATGCAAGAATAGGCGTGTGATAACACATTGGTTGTACCTTAAATGTTGCTGCAGGATTTCTGTTCATATTGAACCCCTGGAGGAGAGGGTGTCAGAGGTACTGGGTGACACGGTGTCTCAGGGACTACCCCTGTAAACCTAACGTCACAAACCTGGACAAACTACAGCATGGAGTAGACAATGTGTGGAAGGAAGGATACCCAGAATACAGGTAGGTAGAATACCAGGTTGTTGGGCCACAAAGATGGCAAAAGGTGGCAAGGTGATCTTGTGGAGGGTTTGTGGAAAACAACGTCCAGTCTGATTGGTGGAAAACAAAGTCCAGTCTGATTTAGGAGGGCCTGCATGGAGGGTAGTGATTACGAATTATGCAAAATTTTTGCCGCCAATTACGAATTACGTTAAAGCCTCAGAGCTAATTACAACTTTACACTTTGCAGTTAATGTTCTATTACGAATTACGTTGATTTTTGGGGAGGCTGCCTACGGATTACGAAGACTAAAAATGCCTGATTACGCCTTACGAAAAAGGTATGCAGGCCCCCATTTAGGGGTGGGAAAAGCTGTCCAACCATTTCTGTGTTTAGCAGTGCCCCCTTGTGAAGTATGATAAATGTGCAGTCGGACTGGACCTTGTTTTCCACCAACCCTTCTTGTGGTTAGGGTTGTTGAACTGTTCTGGTTTTCGAATGTTTGGCAGGCCAAAGTGTTGTACCTTTGTACCTGCAGATGCTGCAGCAACTAATACAAACAAAAGGTATACAGGTTGACACTAACCTGCTGGACTATGACATGCTTTCCAGCATCACTGAGGCGACTGCACCGGATCGTCAGTTAGACTCCGGCCTTCACTGGTGTTTCGTCCCTTTACATCTAAAGACACCTCGGGGCGGTGGGACAGTAGGGTGGACGTCTCCATCCTACTTCCGGTACAGTCGTCTCTACTTCTGGGATGTCTGTTTCCAGTTCTTATCCTTCCTTCTTAGCCAAATCACAAAACTACTCTTCTCCACTTCTTCAGACACACGGCGGACAAGCTGGGCCTGTGCCTTCCCTCGGATCTGGAGGTCTCTGCATAGCCGCAGTAGTGATGACCCTGCAAACCCACGAACTCCTATTTCTACTGGGTAGAGCTGAGTTTTCCAGCCGTTCAGCCTACACTGCTGGACCAGTTCCTCGTATCTTGTCTTCTTCCTTTCAAAAGCTACCTGAATGTTCTCTTCCCAAGGAACCGTTAGTTCTACTATCAACACTGACTTTTGGTCCTCTGACCACAGGACAAGGTCCGGTCTCAATGTCGTTGCGCAGATACTACTTGGGAAATGCAGCTGCCTGTCGAGATCTACGCTCATTTTCCACACTCCTCTACATAATGGGCCACCTCCTATTCTGCTCCTACTGCTGGTTGCCCCTGAGGTCTGCTGCCCACTTCTTACGAACTGGATTGGCTGTAGTGGTGAGTCTGTTCCTGCTGTTTCCTTCCTCACTTCCTCTAGAGTTACTGCAATTTGACGGAGAGCTTTGTTATGTCTCCACGTATAACGGCCTTGTTGTAATGCAACTGAGCAGTTAGACAAGATGTGCTTCAAGTCTGCTTGTTCAAGACCACACAGCTGGCAGGACTCTTCACTCTTGAACCAACGGGTGAGGTTTCTGGGACTGGGAAGAACATCGTAGACCGCCCGTAGCAGAAAGCTCAGTCTGGCATTCTGGATGTTCCACACATCGCTCCACTTAAGTCTCCTCTCTACCGCTCCGTCCCAGTTTGTCCACGCACCCTGCTGGCTCTGACCAATCGCCACCACTCTTCTCTTCTCCTCCTCTATCCTTCTCACTTCCTGTACTACCAGCTGTCTCCTTTCTCTGGAGTTGGCGTTGGACCACCGGTGTGTTCGCTCCCCCCATCCAAGACCGGTTCTTCCCAGCTGAACTGCACCCACTAGGTCTTTATGTTGTAGTCGGCTAACTGCTTGGCTAATGGTCTCTTTAGCACTCCACTTCTTGCCAGTGCTGATGTTCGTGTTTACCGCTTTCACTGCTGGGTCTTGAGACTCCTCCAACTCCAGAACAAGTTGAACTTTGGCCTCCTTGTATTCCTCTGCAATAGATGAAAGCGGAAGGCTTAACATGTTGTCGCCAAACAATGCCACTGTTGACAGACATCTTGGTACACCTAACCACCGCCGAAAGTAGGAATTGGCTTTCCTGTCAATCTGATCCACAGTTGACATGGATATGTTGTACATCTTAAGGGGCCATTTTAGTCTTGGAAACAGCACAAACTGTGCGCACCACACTTTGAGTCTTCCAGGAAGATCACAGTTATACATTGTTCTTTTTTTAAAGAAAATACAGACTGCAACAAGGGAAGAAAACCCAGCCCAAGACCTTGCTTCACAAGTTGAGGTGGACAACACTGGGATATCATTATGACTGGGACAAAAAGGTACAGGATTGCAAATATACTGCTTTTTTAGATCAATAAATGAACAAAACTGGACTTGATGAGTAATAAAGCTTTATTTTGTTGAAATAACTTGATGGATCACAATTGCATGAAACATTGCCAAATGCCACAAAGGTAGTGAAACGTCACCATCTGAATATATGGTACGTACTTAAGAACCAACCAGCCATTCTAAAGCTTTTGACTCCTGACACAAAGAGAGGAATTGGTTGTCCAATCAAAACACAGAAACTCACAGAAACAGAAAGTACATTGTAATTTAGAGGAGCATGAATTTCCCTCAGCAATGAAAGACAAACAGTTCTGGAAACTATCAACTTTGTTTGCTACACCTCTTAAAAGAGGACAGATGATGATGATCACTTCAGGTATACTCATTTCAGATACACATGTATACTTTTCCAGGTACATGTACATGTATACTGTACTCATTTCCTGCATCCAAACATTTTGTTTGATGTTTGTATTTCTTCCAGGAGTACCACCAGGATAGGTACACACAGTTCCCTACAGACCTGGCCCAGCTGTCCACACATGTAGCACAGACTCTGGGCTTCCCTCACTACAAGGCACAGTCTGCTATAGTCAACTACTATGGACTGGATTCTCAGCTAGGGGGACATGTCGACCACCAGGAGTTGGACTACTCTAAGCCTATCATATCCTTCAGGTAAACTGGTACTACCTGGAATCAATTTGGGTTTCCCTTACCGTAGGAAAACATACTGTTTTTGCTCTGTTTCTTCTTCTTCTCCAAACAAAGAAGGTTGATGACCTGGACCAGATGGCTGTCACCATGGTAACTGGTGCTGTAGTTGACATCATGTGGAGTTGGTTTACATTATGTGGCAATGGCAGGACAGAGTGGGAGGGGCTGGTTACCGTATGAATTTGTGTAAGAGTAACAGAAGTTTGTTAGGCTAGACCATGTGAAAGTAAACATAATGCATTTGCTTTGTGAATGTTACTTTTCCAGTCAGTATCATTTTACTCTGTACAGTCAGTATATAACCACCCTCAGTGTAACACATCAGCTTTGCAGCACCGGGTTGTATAGAATGACCTGTTTACCTGTACTGAATCATTTTATATACCGGTACTTCTTTCATCAGCTTCGGACAGACGGCCATCTTCTTACTGGGTGGCAAGACGAAGTCAGTCCAGCCAACGGCCATGTTCCTCAGGAATGGAGACATCATGGTCATGTCAGGTGACACCAGACTAGCCTATCACGGTGTCCCTAAGATACTGAAACCACCAATGGCAGGACAGCTGCCAGAAGGGCTGTGCGAGGAAGGTGGGGAAGAAGGAGTTCATGAATCTATGCTGCCTGGTGGCATGGAAGAGTCTTGGGAACAGTCGGCCTTGTTTATGGAAGAATGTAGGATAAACATTACAGTCAGACAGGTTGTGGCTGAGGGAAAAGGCTTTGGAAAAAGGAGCTGCGATGATGAATTACAAACAGAGCCAAAAAGAACGAAGGAATCTCAGTACTCCACTGGATCCTGATATTCAGTCTTTTGCTGGTGATATTGGTCATAAAAATTTTGGCCAACTAAATTGTAACCTCTACTGGTAAAATAGTAGAAATTGGCTAAGTAGACTGAAGATAATGCCAGAGAAGTTAGCTGGATAGTGGCTACAGTTTACAAGTAGCTGGCTAAATCTGCTGGCATGATATTCGTCTATGGTATTTGGCCAATTTCTACTACGTTGTACTTTTTATAAATTGTACATGGCTGCTAATCATGATACAAAAAGACTGATCTTATGACAAGTAAAAGTGGATTAAAACCTATGCTTAAATCTCTGTCTATGTGTATGCATGCACTATTTTTGTGCTAAGTAATACGAAGAATTCAGAAGAAAATGAATCAATTCTTATGTCTTTGTGTGTAACTCATGCTACTATTTATTAGCTATGTGACTTTGTTACCTACATTGCTACAAATGTACAATGTACATGCTTTGATAATTAAAAAAAAACAGAAATTGGAGATAATGACCAGTTTGTTTATTCAACTAAGATGTAAGAAAGGTAGGAGTAGAAACTAAGTGCATTACACAGTATTCATTGATCGTTTACTCTAATTACACGTTATATCAATCTCTAAGGCCACAGCAATTTATCTGTTCTTGAAAGTTTCTTTTGGGAAAGAATTAAGCTGAAGGGTAGCCAAGTAGCACAATATTTGAAATCTGCTCTAAAAAATTCTTGCAAACTTTTGTAGACATTAAACATTGTCAAAGCTTAGCATTTTATCTCTGTAAAAGTCATGTTAGATTTACATGGGTAAATTTGTTAATGGAAAACTTTTACTCAACTGTGGGTATCAAATAACTTGGTGTGACCTGTTTTAATACTTACAATGATTTACTTGTGTAAGTAGATCTAATGATACGTAAAGAATCATTAATATGAACAAATATGCCTACGAAGAAGAAAAAGCTTTGCTTACTGGTCCTGACTAGGAAATACAAATTTATTCATCTACCAAGATCCTTGTGTTATTAGAACTTCAAAACTAGTGCTTCATGGTGACATCAGAGATAAAAGTTTACATAGTTTGTAGTGTTATTTATATACTGACATGAAAATTGCTATACATTCTGGGGAGGGAGGGAGATCAGCCAACACAAATACATGTACTACCGACATGTTTCCGAAACATCAGTTTTCCATATTAGTCATATGGGTATTCTTGTACAAGTGTTCCAAAATGACACATTTGGAAAGATCTGATACACATAACGTAAACAATACAATAGTTTGATGTCTTCTGATTGTTTTAAACCCCCTTGTTATGTACATGTTCTGGTGAGGAACTACAACATAGGAAGCAATCACAATGTACTAACAAGCTAGAAATGTCAAACACTACAAAAAGGTGTTGACATATTCTAAACAGTTGTTTTTACTCCTTTCTTCGCTCTTTCCTGCCCCTGTCGTAGTCATAGTCCCTAGACCGGCCTGCCTCGTCGGCAGGGCGCTTCTGAGCCTTCTTAGCTTCCGTCAAGAACTTATCCAGACCGAAGGGATCCTCTTCTTCCACGCGTTCGAACTGTACCGGCCCATCGCGCCGCCGGCTGCGATCGGTGCCGCTAAATTCCTTGTCAGGCACGAACCTATCAGAGAGACCACAATGAAGCATGAGTTACTATTAGTTTATGAGTTGGTAGAAGTCATTTTGAAACAAGTTGAAAGATACTCAAGGCTAGGTTCCTTGAGCACAAACGGCCTATCTCGACAATTTTGGTAAGATTCAGATTCACAACACATACATGTAGAGTCGCCTAGACATTCAGTCACATTAGACTACGCAAGAATCTTGGACACAGAACTAGACATCTTGTCAAGATTATTATTGTATGTACTAAAGAAGCCATCTAGATCGGAACATTGCAACCATCCCTCAATAGAGACTCCACAAACTTTCTTCAACTTAGGAACCACTGCTCACAGTTGCATGCACTACTAATACTATCTACATTTGACCTCACAGAAGTGGTGGATTATTCATTCCTTGACAAAGACTGGAGTCAAAATACTTGAAAATTCAGGTAGTTCAATTTCTTGTGTTGGATATTACAGTTAAAACTGATTTCATAACGAGTTACATTATAGTAATTAATACAAGAAATGTGCCTAATTTGCAAGATATTTCCCCTGGAAAAAAGTAACCAAGACAAGAAAACTGGTTCACAAACCTGTTGGTGTTGATGATTTTGTCCAAGTCGTCCCCGTACAAGTCCTTGTCTACGTTCCTACTGGGCCGGTAGATGTTCTGGGCCATGTTGGCACCCGATCGCCAGGCCTTATCATACACTGTGTAGCTCTCATCTTCTCCAGCTGCAAACCCACTGTCTAAGCCCTGGAAAAAAAAGGAAAATATGACTGACTACAAGTACTTTATCCTTGCATTATGACAGTATTTCCAATGAAGTAGAAAACCTGGAAATCACCATATAAATATAAAATGTAATGACTTTTTCTATCATACAGTTATCACACAACAGATTATTTTTCAATGGTGTTTTTAGAAAGATTGACAGGAAGTTCCGGGTCATGATTATTATGATTTTCATAACTGCACCAGCAAAAACTCATTCTTTCCTAGAACCATTGCAGAGTGCAACTTGCTGCCACCAAGCACAGTTGGGGCATCATCATTAGATAGCTTTAAACAAAGTTTATATTCAAATGTTCAAGGGTTAGGGGCAACAAGTTGTTCAGTATAATGTAGCTAGCTGCCGCTGCACCATGTGCCTGTAAAGCTGGTGTGCTACGCCAAAATGTGGTTACTGATACAGATACCAGCTATGTATTCCACTGACCTTGCTCTGGTTGAAGAGTCGCTGGTCGTACTGGGTCTCTCCTGTTCCACCCCCGACATGGGGCAGACCCAGGGCAATCTTCTCTGTGATGTCACGCTCCCTTTCACGCTGAAGCTTGGTTCTAAAACAACATCAAATACATTCATAAATATGTGCAAACCATGAAACAAGACCTAGCTAGAAAGGTAAATTTGCAGAGAACACCGTCTAGCCTAACAAACTACTGCCCTGTTTGTTCTAAACACATTCATATGTACAGTGACCAGCTCCTCCAACTTTGTCCTGCCAATTGCTACATAATGTAATCCAACACCACAGGGTGTCTGCTACAGCACCAGCTACCATTGTAACATCTGTCTGCTGCATATTTGTTTGGAGTGAAAGAAGAGGATCTAAAACAACATGTTTACCCTCCGTATCCTGTAAGGGCAAACATAACTATGACTGTTAACAGCAAAAACAACGTATTTCAATGTAAAATAGTAGACATTGCATCCCCTAACCTTTTGTCAGGTGCCGCCCGGGCGATGTTTCTGTCCCTCTGCCGGTCCTTGTGCCGCTCGTGTCGCAGTGCATCTCGCTCCCTTGCATCCTTGTCCTCGTCAACTGAAATAGGAAAACATCCATTCAAAAACCAACAAACGTACAAAGAACAGACAAAGGTCCTACTCTGCAGGTACAAATGGTTCCTTTACGATTTTTTTTACCAATTTTGTGCTTCACTTATAACCAGTGCAAACAATTTTCACAAAAGATTTGTGTACAGTTGGTACTTGGTTTGAATTAACTGTAACCAACCAAAGAAGTGGTTTTACCGGCAGCATGTGTCCTGATTCCTGCTCTCTCATCTCGAGCCTTCTGGGCCAGAAGCCGCAGGTTCTCTTCCTTCTTTTCCTTCTCCTTCTGGGCCAGTTTCTTCTCCATCTGTGCACGCAGCTCCACAGCCTCACGAGCCTGGTGAGAAACAAATGATGAACTGGATATGAACAAAAGTTTAAACTATCCCATGTTGTCAGTACCGGGTATTCATTGTACAGACTGGTGAGCTTAGAGAGCAAGAATTAAAATCCTCAAGAGCTGGCCAAAACGTCCAAGGCATTAGCCATACCATATTTACCTCCGGGGAAGGAGATATCCTTCCGCGAGGAGGTTTTACTATGGTTCAAAACATTTCTGTCAGTAGCTGTTTCTCGCGATCGGCTGGACGGATTGGTCTGTTGTTCGGTATACGTATTGCTATTGGGCTGCAGATGATGCAGAACGTTTTTGTTTAATTGCATATGTGTTTATGGGCGTCGAAATAAAATGTTTTTAAGTGCTCATGACACCCCCGCCATGCTGAAAATGGAATTTACCATGTTGTTAAGGAATGGGGAGGTTGCAGTTTTGGGTCTTAGCATTTAAAAGGGGTCAAACAGAGGGGTGTCTGGTTCCGATAAAAAATTTGGGTGACGGCGCAGCAATGACGGCGGGGGTAATGGCGCGGGTGACGGTGCAGGCTGTCAGACACGTTAATCAACAGTCCATACCAAACCAACCGTCAGTAGCCATCAAACACATACAAACATATTACGCACATAACTTTCATACTACACACAAACAAATAACCTAAACCAATAGAACACAAAAAAAACCCGGAGGTTTGAAATCTACGATTTCCCTTGTTAGAACTCTAAAAAGAAAGGTCTTCGGAATTCTTTCCTGTGTACGACATTAACATAACGTAATTCCGGATTTTTCCACAATACTTTTATGTTTGCAGTTTTCGTAGTCTTTTCTGAACTGCAAACTTATTATTACCGTGAACATATAGTTTCGTAAACACGCCATTTTTCTCAGACCGCAAACATAATGTGAATTACAGTAATATAGGAATGAAGAGGACTTTACCACCCTTATCTATATCAATTAATATGGGAACTAAGAGCCCTACCTTTCTGTCGGCGATGTACAGAGCTTCGGCCAGCTTGGCAAAGTTCTCATTGATGTGGACCCCCTGCAGCCCGCGGCCGTCGGCTGCCAGACGCTTGTCCAGCGGGATGGTGTAACCTCGGTTGTTCTTCCAGTTGGAAATGCATGGCGGGATCTTCCACTCCTGCTGTTCTTTCACGGTCACCTGAAGGGGGAGGAAGGCAGATACAACATCACAACATGGTTGAATGGCTAGGCAAGCAGACACGAGACCAAGAGGTCACGGGTTTGATTCCTGGCTGGAGATTGGGTCCTAAGGGGAAAGGCACTTAACAAGACTTTCCTCACTCCACCCAGGTGTTAAAATGGGTACCTGACTTTGGTTTGGGCGGTAAAAGGTGGTAGATGGACAGGGATGGGCTCTACCTTCCAATGCTACGCGCTAACCAAAGTTGACTAACAATGCTCTGCCCTTTATGGCTTAATAAGGGCTATGGGACTACCTTTACCTATATGCCAAGTAAGAGGGGGTTCTATTGTATTTTGTAATAGGAAAATGGGAAGAGAGCTAACTCCATGTTATGTACAAAATAATTTTTTCTTAAGGAAAGGAGTTAAAAGACTGAAATTCTCCATGGAACTGACCTTTCTGTTTGGTGAGTGCAGCACGGGTGCAGGTGGGGAGGGGGGTCCTCGGGGGATCTTCTTGTTGATCTTGAACTTGGGAGGTTCCATGGGATCCTTCTGCATCTCCACCATCCGGATCACCCTCTGTTTGGCACCTGGTCACGGCAAACAAGTTGGCATTTATAACTTTTTCCTAGGCCTAACTCCAGAAGGCTTAGATGGACCCTTGATATTTGGTAGGTGGGTAGGTCTTGATGAGATCTTGAAATGATTAGATTTCAAGCCTCCCGGTGACCGTTATGGTACTGCAGCGGAACCTCCAGTTTTGATATCTCGTGATCTGGAGATGCTAGGGTTGGTGAAGGTATGAGATCCTGGAACTCTAGTTTAGGGCTGACTTGATCTGGTACACAATGTACAAGCTTACATACATTGTTGTAACATTAAACAGTGCTAAACACTGCTGTATTGACTATTGAGTGACAGTTTTACTGTTTAAAACAGCGGACTCACCAGAGTTAAAGGCCACACCCTGTTGGGACGGTGTGTAGCGGATGTACTGTGCGGGCGCTGTTTTCTCCGCCCTCCGTACCGGCATGGCAGCCGAGATCTTCGACTCCACCAGCTTCTCCAGTGCCTGTCTGGTCTTCTCTGTTGTCTGTACTCAGAGAGAGAGAGAGAGAGTGAAATAAAATTAGTTCACAAGAAAACAGTTACTCAAGCAACTGGATAGATTTTAAAAACTGTCAGACATTTCAAGTAGCATACTCAAGTATTCAAGTAATAGACCTATGATGACAATTCACAATTAGCAGTTCAACCAATGAGAGAATGGCAGTTAGCAGTTCAACCAATGAGAGAATGGCAATTAGCAGTTCGACCAATAAGAGATTAGCTGCACATCTGCCAAATGCTTGCAATGACTGAATGTACACAAAAAAAGTAGTTTGTAACATCACCTCCTCCACATCCTCTTCTGTGGGTCTCTGTAGTTCTGGATCATCCTCATCAGTGATGTGTTTGGGTATCATGTCTGTTAACCTGGAGTGCACCACCTGTGATGAACACACCACCAAGATATTATCTTACTTGAAGAATAACTCCTACAAGATACATTTACAACAAACGACCAACAATAAAACTAAGCCTGCTAAAATCTAGGATTGACACATTCTGTGAGAAAAATCGCTTCATTCACCCTTAACAAGTTTAATCATAATGTACATGCACATCAATGGTACAAAAAATGTACTTTATATTACTGGACTAGGATCAATGGGCCCCCTGGTTAAATATATAACATAAATAGAAATCAAGAAACAACTTTACTAAAATTAAAACCAAGATTTCTATGTACATCCTTGCAGACAGGATCTACTTGACTTTGTATAAAACATGCAGTCAACTATAAAATCGAAAATCGACTTAGTTTTTAAAGGAATAGTAGAATCTCCAAATGAAAATTTACGTGATATATTATCTAATATTCTATACCCGATAATAGGATCACAAATAAATATCCTCAAGACAAACCGTATGGGGAAGAAAACTGACCATCCACCCAACCGCCCTATACTCGTCCGTCTTAAGAAATACAGTGATAAACAAAACATTATACAAAATTCAAACCAAATAGCAAGCCAAAACATATTTATAGAACAACCCTCAGTTTCATACGAAGTTCCAGATTTAGAACATGTTCTCTTAAACTATTATAAAATACTGCTCCGTGTTCCCAGAAGCTCCGTCAATGCCGCCGTAAGGGGAGAATTAGGAGCGTTTCCATTATACATTGATACACAAACCCACCTTATTAAATACTGGCTCCGACTACACAACCTCCCTAACGATAGAATAGTTAAGAAAGCTTACGATATTGCTGTGGAACAAGAACACGACTGGGCCGTTCATGTGCAAGACATGTTATGTAAACACGGTTTCCAAAATGTTTGGCTAAACCCAGTAGTTAACGCCAAACATTTTGGAAACGTGTTCAAAGAACGGCTCAAAGACACGTTTGTTTCTGGCTGGAGGCAAAATATCAGAAATTACAGCAAACTGAAAACCTACTCCAAAGTCAAATCTGACTTCGTTTTTGAGAAATATCTTTCACTAATACAAAACAAATCTTTCGCCGCTAATATAACCAAAATACGAATTAGTTCACACTGTTTAGAAATAGAAAAGGGACGCCATAACAATGTACCAGCCACCCACAGATGTTGTCCTATTTGCAAAGATATTGTAGAAGATGAATTGCATTTTATGTTAACATGTCCAGCTTACAATGAAGAAAGACAAACACTTATGAACTCTATCGCCAACAACACAAGTATTACATTACCTAAGACAGTCTCAGATACCTTTACTTTTCTAATGTCATGCCCCGATGCAATCTCACCATATATAGGCCAATATATTTCTAACGCCTTAGTTAAAAGAAACAATGTCATTTCCGAAACAGTCAACTGATTGCTTACACATAACAATGGAATCAACTATATATATATATATATCCATTATACTAGTAATACTTAAGTATAGGACAGAGTAGTATTTAGTTGTAGATTTACAGAACCCCTGTATAATGTTTGCCATTCCTTTTGTATACTAGTACGATGTAACTTAAGTTCGATTCATATACAGCATGAATGTAGTACTCTTTTACGCATTAGTTTAGACTTTAGATTTGTACTTAGTACCCCTAATTGCCATACGATGTATCCGTACATTAGTTGTGCAATAAACTTTGACTTGACTTGACTTGACTTGACTATAAAATCTCTTTATGATCCACACTAAGAACTCTGAGAATCCTGTAAACATCTTCATACATACCTTGTCCTTCCCATGGCCCTGTCTGGCAATAGCGTCGTACTTGACCTTGCCTTCTGCGTCCAGCTGTAAGGCCAGTGAGTTAGAAGCCTTGGCCTTCTTCCTGCCCATGTCCTGGGGATACTGCACCACATGGACCTCTGGGTACGCACCACCATCGCCGAAGTCCTGGGGGAAAATAAGGTTCAAATTACACTTGTAATTTAGCTTGTTGCCTTAAATAATACCATCCAAAAGCAAGGTTTATTTTAACGGTGCACACACCAGTTCTTCCGCGACAGGGGTCCACTATAGTGCCCGGAAAAAAAGTGACAAAGGGGTTCCGATGGTTCATGTTTGAGTTTACATTTCTCATAATCTGCTGCAAAATGGGATTAGCTACTACCATGGCTGAAAAGTGTAAGAAGTGGCGTGTTTTGGGTGAAAATTGATTTCGGGCCCGAGACTTACTTCCGGGTGTCCTTCCGCCCTGAGCGCGGTACTTCGGTTTGACCTAGTTTTGCCTTGTATGCGTTCTGGGGGTGCTGTAGCTATGCCTCGCGCGACGGGCTATTGTGATAATCTCAGTGTTAGGATTTTCTTTATACTTTTCTTAATAATACATAAGGGTTTTCTCTTTCCGACCATATAAGTCATATCAGTGGCAAAAATCTGGGTGATGGGTTTAATTCCACGTGAAAATGGCCAATTTTTGGCATCATTTTTCAGCGAAAAATTCTTTTTCCCCCTAAAATTTTCTAAAATGTGAGAGGTGAAAGAAATTGAAATTCTTTTGTTCTCGTAGCTAGAGGGATATCCTTCATTTGCAAACAGAGTGTTTTGGCTTAAGAGGTTTGTCCTGAAAGAGACGGTCGCTAGAGTTGAGGGTATGCAGAATCGAATTGAGACCCAAAATAAACTGGGGTGTGCCCCCTTAGAAGCAAAAAAACATTGTGCTGCTGGCCTGCTGCAAAGTCTTGCATTTGCAAAGTCTTGCATTTGAGCAAAGCTGTGGTCCACTGTTCATTGTGCTTGCAATTTGTCAAAAAGAGCTAGTGTGGGGAATTTCCCCGGTACAATGAACCTGTAAATACATGTACTGCATACACAGCGTCGTATTATGTCACGACCAGCTCTTCAGATTAGCTAGATTCATTGATCTAAAACTGGATCGAGATCACTTTCATTTCCTTCCCTGTGAGAGAAGCCCTTAGGCCGTGTTGATTCAGTCGTTTCCAAAAAAGGCTTTCTATCATACTGTAAATCGTACAAAACAGTTGCAAATATACACCGTAAGCTATAAAAAATATTGGAAAACGATACCAATGTCGTAGCAGGCCAAAATCAAACGAAAAAGACGAAACTGTAAAGAAATGAATTTATAGAGTAGATTATTCGCTATACCATACTCTGTCTGTGTCCTTTGTTCCACCTTCTTGACCACGTATTTCATAATGAAAGCATCTTTTTTTTTCCAAACTTTTTTTATTCGCACGCTTGCATCAGTTTTGGGGTTCCCAGAGGATGTCATCCATATAATCAAATCAACAAGCCCTTACCTCTGCAGAACGAGGCACCCATCCCTGCCTGTGCCCGTATGGAGGGGCCGCCCCCCTCCCCGCCACCATCAGCTGTGTCTGAGGAACATGGAGCCTCTCCCGGTAGTCTACCTCCTCTCGGGTCAGCTGGGTCGGCGCTGGCAAGATGCTGGGAAATGATATTGAAGATGTAATGTTGGTCATCTGTATCTATATCTGTATGGCTGTGTATTTGTATCTACTAGTAGGGATAGCCTGGGCCAGTATAAAGGCCCTTTAGCATAAAACAGCAGCTTCGGAGGCATGCGGCGCGGCGGTAGCTAGCTATATCACACCGAACGACTTGTTACAGCCAATCTTTCCACAGTTAATTGCAGGAGTTGTTTAAGCTTTTGAGTGATGATGCCCCAACTGTGCTTGGTGGCAACAAGTTCCACTCTATAATAGTTCTTATTTTATACAAGTTTTTGAACACCTCAGTTCTTGATTCATAATCATAATAAACTCCAAGGGCATGACTGTTTCTTGTTCTTTTCTGAGCTGGTGAGTAAAAAAATTGCATTCGCATGGTTTTCCTTTGATTACATAATGTGACCAAAGAAAAACCATGAAAGAAAAACAAATTTTTTGGTGTTTCCTTTCTTTCATGCGGCTAACGTTTATACCCTCCCCACCAAACAAATTTATCACCATTTTTTGGTCGCTTTCCATATCAAATCTAGACACATATATACTCATCTGAGCTTAGTTAACTCTGGCTACGTTTTGATCTATAGATATTTTACCCTGACAAACTAAAATCCACAACCACACCATACCTACTTATGTAGCTGCAGGCGATGCGAAAAAAATACATGGCCTACTGAACTCTCCTCTGAGCTTTGGAGTCGGAATCTCAAGCCTTATGGGCTTCAATAAAACTATTGAGCATAAAGACTCCCACCAAAAGAGACACAAAGCTATCTTATATCTTCAAAATTAACATTTTGTTCGTTTTTTGCCCCACAAACCTAAAATTCGACAGAAAATCGAGCGAGTTTTTCTTTCCTACCTCGACAAGGGGATCGCCATCGTGTTGTCTGATGACGTACTTCCGCCCACAATGCAACGCGCGCGCTTTCCCGCGTCGTTCCCAGAATCACTCGCGGCGTCCCCTGGGTACGAGAGCAGGAGTGGAGGGAAGCGCAAAATTATTTTGGCAGCAGTTTAGGGTTTAGTTATGATCTATTAGCGAAATTTGAAAATAATAAAGTCTTTATTCGGCTATTAATCTCTGTTCTTACGGAAAATGGAATTGTCAGGAAAATGCGAGCTTCCCAAGTCCCAAAACGATCAAGTTCCAGGACTTTGCAGCAAGACACGTCACGATCTCTCACTCCATTTTTCTTCCAACTTTCCAAGGTGAGTTCCTTCTTTAAACCTTCTTGTTTAAAGTTTGATACTGTATAAAAAAAAAGGTCCAGAAGATGAATTTTGAGGTTGGCATTCTCATGTCTGATATAACAGATCATAGATCATCATCTGCCTATGCACACAACTGTTGAACAGTATTAAAATGAGGGATGATCCATTAATTTGATCAAATAATTTATTTCAGAGGGAAGGGTCATAATTTAATAATTTTACCGCAACATTTTAATACGGTTTGAAGATGATCACATGTAATATTCACTTCAATAATCACTGTGCATTGTGTGCTTTCATGGTCATATGCAACAAATGTAATAATATCACACATGTATGGAATGCAGTAATATGATAGCTAAAACAACTGTAAAACGATAGCTAGAACTGCATAGACAGATAGTTAATATAATTTGTAATGATTGTGTGCTTCATGGTATTTCCAAACTACAACAGAGCACAGTCGCAATGATATTTGGCATTACAGCCAAACATTCTACCAACTCTATTCTAGTCTAAGCTCGCAGCGTTAGCCAGCAACCAATTGGGTAGCTGTCACTGTGTCACAGCATCAAGATTGTAACCACGATATCTATCTGTGTATTAATATGTATTTATAGTGCAAATTGCACATTTCAAGGTCAAAAGCCAAAACCATTAAAGCAATTAGCAAAAAGAGCATACTACGACAATGAGTTTTGCAACAGTGATGTCTGACTGACAGTGACATCTATCAGAAAGAGCTTGAACTGCATTTTCATGGTGAATATGTCCTATTTTGTACCTTTTTTTAGCCTTGTGTCTTAACTCTATTGTGAATTGGAACTTCCGTAGTCAAAGAGAGCTCACTCAAAGTTGTAGTATATACTAGTATGTCCTTCAGGTTCAGGCTTTTAGCTAGAATTTTTTTGTTGGGTGTCCATTTTTTTTATTGTATGCTATGCGCAGCAAAGATGCGCAGTGCACAAGCTTTTAGGGGGGCTTTTTTGAATTTCATAATGCTCTCAAACACTACTTTTTGCATTTTGAGATTCATATTTTGAGGAATTTGAGTTTTTTCCTTTAGTAAACCATCATTTTTGTATTTATAGTAAGGTTGAAGGGAGGCATGTGTGCATGGCAGGGGTTGGGAGTGGAAAAAAATTGGGTGTCTTTAGGGTGTCCTGCCAAAAAGTAGGGCGTCCAATTTCTTACTATTTTCAGTACAGGGCGTCCAAAAGACACCCTGGACACCCCCTAGCTAAAAGCCTGTTCAGGTTCAAACCATGATAGACTAAACACCAGACTACTGTTATTAATCATAATGTTTTTTGTGGGTTTTGCGGTCACTTCTGTACCATAAACTTATTACGGTAACCGTGAATAAATAATCCGCCGACTTTATTTTTGCTGCAACTGCCACCGTTACCGCGAATGTCCATTTTTCTCAGAGTGCAAACTTTGGCTACCATGAAAAGTTAAGACACTTATTTACCATGAATATTTTCAAGCTAACATTTATACATCAATAGTATTTATAGTAAGTAGTAATTTGTACATCTAAATGAATTTTGAATCATTCTTTTGAAGGTGATGGAGAACATGAGAGAGCTACTGGAACATCATGGTTTATCTTCAAGCAGATGTGTGAAGACACTCAAGGTATGCTTAATTTTCATGATAATCCAAATCCATCTACTAAGGGCTAATTTACTGGGGCAAAAAATCACTTGTCCTATGATGATCGGTGCCGTGTGCCGGCCACTGTCGAATTGGACTTGATGAATTCATGCATCTCAGTCACTTTTGTTAATTGGTGGTTGGTATAGATTAGCCTGATTGATACTAGTATTTTATAGAAAACGTTGATCTTAGTATTTGAACTGTGGATGATTTTAAGTGATAAAATATGTTTTGCATTGCATTTTTTTGTTGTACATTCAATAGCATCATGTTGTTTGAAATGATATCATGACCATATATAGTCATTTTCATATATTTGATTCTACAATTTGTGTATTCATTCTTTATACATGTACATACATGTACATTCATTCTGTATTCATTTGGTTTATGTTTATATTGACATCAAAATCATATGTATGTCATGTATGCTTAAAAACTATGTTAATCATGTTATGTGAAATTACTTTGAGAAATTCCTGATGAATTTAAAATGCTTAAAACCCAGATCCAAGCTTCTCTTGCACACTTTCCTGTATTTTTCATTGTAGTCAAAATTGGGTATTTTACATATACCTGTACAACAATGAAATCAAACAAATGTTTGAACATATTGGTAGCTAATTTCCAATTATGCTCTGATTATCTGTTTACAGAAATGATAAGTAATTACATGTGTACCACTTGCTGTTAGAGTTCAGTACAAGGGAATTCGGGATGTCGGAAATAAATTGCATTTCAAATTTGTTCATAATAAAAGAAATTTGGATGCATACTTTTTCTACCTGTATATCATTCTCATGCCTGCTATTATTAGATGAAATTTTATCACTAATGTCTTCATGAACATTCTTCTCGCTACTATTTATTATTATATAATAACACTATCAGTAGGACTTCTTCTAATGGTAGATGATATTTTTGTCCAGGTGCAATTTCTAGTGTTTCCCCTAGGTGGCTCTGCAGATTGCGATGACCCTGTCAATGACAGTCCTGCAGCAGATTGGTGATATTTAGATTTTACAATAACCTTTGCAGTTTTCTTGTTGCTTCTTTGTTAGTTTGCAATAATTGAAGTTTCACAAGTTCTTTGGTAAAGCACATTTTGGTTAATATTTGCAGTCACTCTTTGTAGTATGTCAGTTGCGGAAGAAATTTAGATTTATAACTGACTGTTATGGTTATTATGTTTACCTTCGCAGAACATAAATATTGTTTTTGCTCTGTTTCTTCTTCCTCCTATTCTTCTTCCGCTGCAAACAAATAAGGTCAATGACCTAGACCAGATGGCTGTAAGCCTGTAACCATGGTAACTGGTGCTGTATCAGGCATCCTGTGGTGTTGGATTTAATTATGCAGCAGGACAGATTAACTTTTGGACACCATATTATATGGATGTGTTTGACTTAAATTAACAATAAACAGAACAGTAATTTTAGGCTATATTGTATGTGTAGACCATGTGAACATAGACATTACGTACAGTATGCAAACATCATCTTTTCTGGTTTGTTTATTTCATGAGGTGCATGGCAAAATCATTCAATACAAATTAAACAGCACAAGTACATTAACCCAAAATATGATACAATATAAAACAAATCGTAGCTTATGGCCATGCACAACAGCCCAAATTGGAAGGCTATTTTGCATACTACACTGTCTAATTAAGGTCTTCTAAACATAACCAGTGCAGTGACTACAGTGCTACTAAGGCATGAGTGATCTGCTGTCTGCCCGTTAAGTCCTGATCAGAGCATCAGTGGGAGAGAGTGTTCTTTTCTAGATAATACTCACTGGTAATATCACAGGCCTGTGATGGATGACGCAAACGTACGCCAGCCAGGAGCCATCCGTCACTGTCAGATGTAAGGGCCATCCTGGTCAAGGCTCGAAATACTGCTGCAGTACTTCATGAAATATTTTCTTGTGGACAGATTCTAAAGAAGCTAGAGATTCTTTGTGTAAGAACCTGTACTTCTTATCATAAGAACAATATTCTTGTATTGGTTCTTTAGCTATACGGAAAAAAAATCTTACGGAATAAGAACAATGTGGGTGTCTTGAATTTTCTTGAAACAGGGAATTCTTCAAAGAATAGTATTCTATAGCTGACAGGAAAATTTTCTTTGCAAAAGAAAAAAAGAAAAAAAAAAACAAGAAAGAGCATTTTTATTAGTGTGGGTGCATGTGCACATTAGTGCACCCAAATTCAAAGCTGTGCACCCAATTTTTTCCCGTGGGTGCACCAGTGCACCCAAATATTTTTGTAGGTTTACATATGTAAAGATGTTAAATGTATATTAGTATATACAGCATATTCTTGACATCTAAGTGTCAGAAAAATAATAGAATCATTGTTATTATTAATATAGTACTTTCTATTAGAAATGAAACATAATTAGTTTTTGCTGACATTCTACTTATTTTATCTTATATGGTGCACCCAAAAAATTTTTTGTGTACCCCATTTTCTAGCTTGGGTGTACCAGTGCACATTCCCCAAAATGCGAATTTGGAGCCCTGCTGGTGCACTGCTCCTGCTACAAGCAGTGAACCCGGGTAGCCGGGAGAAGAGAGTGACCACGGAGAGACTTAACCGCTCCTTGGGGGGTCTTCCTGGCTGATTACCTGTACGGATCTCACAGGTGGCGGCCGGGGTGATTTTACAGTCGTCGAGCGCGACCAATGGGAACCTCGCGGTGTCGGGAACGATTATGACGGGTCTCCGCAAGCCGGTTGGGAGGGTGGGAGGATTACAGCGATGTTATGACTCCGTGGGGTCGCCTTTCGGTGCGCATTCATCATTTCAAAGATCTCAGCATCACTTCCTTTGTAGTATATACATGTACTCATTATTGCTAGACTTAAATGTCCAACCGTATTTACTGTAAATCACAATTTTTTGCAGACTTCGTTGCTGTCACGGTCACTTCTGTGCCGCAAACTTATCATTACCGTGAACAAATAATTTGCCAACTTTCTTTTTGCTGCACCTAGGCCTGCCGCCACTGCGAATGTATACTTCCTCAAACATGTATAGTTACTCAAACATTTTTCTCAAGCTGCGAGCTCTAGCTACAGTGAACATACATGTGA